AACCAGATTTGAAGGAACCAGTGATGTCAAACAGTCAAAGCTGCAAATGGTTCTGTCAGAGTTCGAGGCTCTCAGAATGACTAAAGACGAAACCATTTCTACCTTCCACAGTAGGGTTCAGAACTTGATGAACCGAGCTTCAATTCTTGGGGAACCATTCACTGATGAGAGAGTGGTCAAAAAGATTCTCAGATCCCTACCTAAACGTTTTCGAATGAAAGTAACGGCTATTCAGGAACACACATGTTGGGAAAAGAAGACTGTCGGAGAACTCATGGGAAGCTTGCACACATATGAACTGGAAGTTCTTGCTGATGATGATGTTGGAAGCAACAAGAAAGGAAAGTCTGTAGCCTTTGTGGCTGAAGCTGATCGAGAATCTGACACAGACGACATAGATGATGAAACCCTAGCTCTCCTAACCAAAAACTTCAAGAAAATCTTAAAAGGGTTCCATAGAAAGGGTCAAGGTCAGTCTACAAGAACACAATACAAAGGCAACAACCCTTCATATCAAAAGGTTGAAACAACACCCTTCTCACAGAACAATCAATCTCAGACTGGGCGATCGAGACAAAACAGAAATAGTGCCACAGACACAGGAAAACCCCTCAATCGGTCAGTGCAGTGTAGGGAATGTGAAGGATACGGTCACATACAGGCTGAATGTGCAACATATCTTAAAAGGAAAAAGGCTATGTCTGTAGCTACTCTTAGTGATGATGAGAAGGAAAATTCAAATGACCAATCAGATGATAATGTAGGAAACTTTGTAGCGTTCTTCACTGCCACAAACATTCAATCAGATGGAGATCAATCAGATGGAGAATCATACATATCAACAGATGATTTTGAAGAGAGACATATTCAACTTGAGGCAGAATTTGCAAAACTTGTCGCTAGCTGGGAACAACTTGTGAAAGTAAATAAGAATCTGAATGACGATCTAAAGCAAAAAGATGATCTTATAAAGAAACTGAATGCTGAACTGGTCATAAAAGAAGATCTCATCACTCAGATACGGTCCAGAGAAGGTAAATTAATCAAGGAGTTGGAGAGCTTGAAGAAAAATATACAGATGATGGACACCACATCTACCTTAGATAAAATTCTAGACTCTGGCAGAAACCCTAATGATAAAAAGGGTCTGGGATTTGAGCAAGGAGAATCTTCGAACAATGCACCAAAGTTCATCAAAGAGGGAATGTCTAAGACCACAGCATATCACAGGTATGAATAAGGACAGTCATCTCAGTCAGTACAAATCAAGGAAAGGAGATACGGTACTAACACTGACCAGGACAAATCAACTTATCAATCTCATTATTCGAGATTCAAAAATAAGATTGTCAAAGTTAAATATTATACTCCCATTTGTCACTACTGTCACACAAAAGGTCATACTCGTCCCGAATGCTATTTTTTCTACAGAGATCAAAGGAAGGAAAAATATCAGAATAAGACTATTACACCATTCACTAGACAGGTTTGGGTCAGAAAGTCAGAAGTTATCTGTTATCCCACCATTGTTCTAACTGCATCTACAACTGACGCTAGATGGTATTTCGACAGTGGTTGTTCCAGACATATGACAGGAAACATTAAATGTCTGATGGCTGTTCAACCTAGCAGTGGAGCTGTAACATTTGGAGATGGACAAAAGGGTAAAATCATTGGGAAAGGTGTTCTAAATGTTCCAGGTTTACCTCAATTAGAAGAAGTCTTGCTAGTCAGTGGATTAAAAGCGAATCTTATTAGCATCAGTCAGTTATGTGATCAAAATTGGAATGTATGCTTCGATCGTAACTGCTGCAGAGTGAGTGACAAAGCAAATCAACTTGTCATGGAAGGAACTCGATCTTCAAACAACTGTTATGTTTTGACAAATGAAACTGCTTGTCACCTATCCAAAACTGATGAATCAAAACTCTGGCATAGAAGACTGGGTCACATAAATTTCAGAGATATGGATAAGTTGATAAAACTGGAAGTAGTAAAAGGTGTACCGAAGATCAGAATTGATCCAGAGAAAATTTGTGGCGCATGTGCTATTGGGAAACAAATCAGAACTCCACACAAAGCAGTAAGAGGTATCACCACTGAGAAATGTCTCGATCTTATCCATATAGATCTCATGGGGCCAACACAGACTGAAAGCATTGGAGGAAATAAATATATATTTGTGTGTGTAGACGATTTCTCTCGGTACAGTTGGGTTTACTTTCTGAGAGAAAAGACAGAAGCCTTCAAGGCCTTCAAGACTCTGTGCATAAGAGTTCAGAAGGAAAAAGATGAGTCTATTATAAAAGTTCAGAGATTGAGGAGTGATCATGGAAAGGAATTTGAGAACTCACTATATTCAGACTTCTGCTCTGAGCATGGTATCTCACATGAGTTCTCAGCTCCTAGAACTGCTCAACAGAATGGAGTGGTGGAAAGAAAGAACCGAACGCTACAGGAAATGGCTAGAGTTATGCTACATGCCTCACATATGCCACAACGTTTCTGGGCTGAAGCAGTACACACAGCGTGTCATACTATAAATAGAGTCTACCTTAGACCAGGAACGACGAAAACTCCATATGAGATCTGGAAGGGAAAGAAGCCAAATCTGAAATACTTTCATGTGTTTGGAGCAAAGTGCTATGTGCTGGCTGACAGAGAACAAAGAGAGAAGTTCGAACCCAAAAGTGATGAGAGCATCTTTCTTGGATACTCTCCGAACAGTCGTGCCTACAGAGTCTACAACAAAAGGACTCAGTCTGTGATGGAGTCAGTAAACGTGGTTGTCGATGACAATCCAGAAGAACCAGTGGACTCAACAGTGATAGAGTCACCTCTACGTGATTCAGATGTAAGTAATAACAACAGTCAGCTCAAACCACAAGATTCATCAGATGAAGATCAAGAAAGTTCAGAACAAGAGATAGATCTCATGAATGATGTTGGTAAAGACAAACCCACCAGAACTCAGAAAAACCATCCATCAGATAACATTATTGGAGATCTTTCAGATGGAATGAAAACCAGAAGCAGAATAAGAAATAATCTGACAGAAATATCTGGGTCTTACTGCTATACCTCAAAGATAGAACCCAAAAATGTCAAAGAAGCTCTACAGGATGTGGATCAATGGCAATGCAGGAGGAGCTACATTAGTTTGAGCGGAATCATGTCTGGAATCTTGTACCAAGACCTGATGGTGTCAATGTAATAGGAACGAAGTGGATCTTTAAGAATAAAACTGATGAAGCAGGGAATATAGCCAGAAACAAAGCTCGGTTGGTGGCTCAAGGTTATACACAGATTGAAGGGGTTGACTATGACGAGACATTTGCTCCTGTAGCTAGACTTGAGTCAATCAGAATCTTGCTGGCTGTCGCTTGCATCTTGGGATTTACATTATATCAGATGGATGTCAAGACAGCGTTTCTGAATGGGTATCTCCATGAAGATATCTATGTGACTCAACCTAAAGGTTTTGAAGATCCAGAACGTCCTTCTTATGTCTATAAGCTTCGAAAAGCTCTCTATGGCCTTAAACAAGCCCCACGGGCCTGGTATGAACGTCTGACACAGTATTTGCTCCAGCACGGATATAAACGCGGAAGTGTTGACAAAACTCTGTTTGTCAAAACGACTGGAAGTCATGTAACCATAGCTCAAATCTATGTTGATGACATTGTGTTTGGATCAACCTTGCAGAAATACACTGATGAGTTGGTAAAAGTCATGGAGGAAGAGTTTGAAATATCCATGGTTGGTCAACTGACATATTTCCTAGGCCTACAAGTCAAGCAAAGTTCTGAAGGATACTTTATTTCACAAGAAAAGTATGCTAAGAATCTTGTCAAAAAGTTTGATCTGGAATCATGTAAACCATCCAGAACACCGATCTCCACTTCTACAAAAGTATCAAAAGATGAAATTGGTATGTTAGTGGATAACACAGTCTATCGTAGCTTGATAGGCAGTCTGTTGTATCTAACAGCCAGTCGACCAGACATAATGTTCAGTGTTGGAATCTGTGCAAGGTATCAATCTGACCCAAAGGAATCACATCTGATAGCGGCAAAACGCATTCTGAAATACGTGAAAGGAACGATACAGTATGGACTCTGGTATTCCAAGGATAGTGAACTGAATCTGGTTGCATATTGTGATGCTGATTGGGCAGGGAATATTGATGATCGGAAAAGTACTTCTGGAGGATGCTTCTTTGTTGGGAAGAACTTAGTATCATGGTTAAGTAAGAAACAGAACTCTATCTCACTAAGTACTGCAGAGGCAGAATACATAGCCGCAGGTGGTTGCTGTACTCAGTTGGTTTGGATGAAACAGATGTTTCTGGATTATGGTCTTACACAAGGAACAATGACACTCTTTTGTGACAATGTCAGTGCTATCAACATCTCCAAGAATCCTGTTCAACATTCCAGAACGAAGCATATTGACATCAGGCATCACTACATCAGAGACCTGGTTGAATCCAAGGAAATTGAGTTGGAATACATTCAGACTGACAAACAACTGGCGGACATTCTGACTAAGCCACTGGATGCTAATCGTTTTGAAATTCTCAGATCTGCCCTAGGAATTTGCAGAATTGACTGACTAAAGCAGTTGGTTCGTCAGAGAGGAGTTGATTTATTACGGGTTAGTGTTATGACTTTGAATTTCCTTAAAGACTCCTCTCTTTTTATGTTAAGAAGATCATCTAAGCTTATTCTTCTCAGAAGATATCTTAAAAGATCTCAATGTTTTTTTTTGAATTTCAAATTCCCTTGGGTTCCGTTTCCTTCCTAAAAAGGAGCTGTACCGTTGTGTCCATCAATCACTTCTGCATGATATTTTGACTTGCCGCATTAATTAGGGTTCATCACCCTTAAGCCTATATGATACCGAGTCAAGAAGAAAGAACTCACCTCAGCTCTCATCTCTCTGTTTCCCGTGCTTATATGTTCTTGGTGTTTTATTCTTCTCCTCGCACTTAATCTTAAATGGCGGACCCCGTAAGAAACATCATCATTAAGCTTGGAAGCAAGGTACACCCTCCGGCGGCAGCCCTCAAACACATTCAGACGCTTCTACAGTTGGCTATGAAGAAGAAGCTCAAGCTTGATCCTCTGCTTCGCGACGAGATTCTGGTGACTGTTATGTCCAACTATTTGGAGTTTTATGCTGAGTGGTCGGCAGATGATGTAACTGAACTTCTTGTGTTGGTCGCCGAAGCCAGTGATGACGTCTCTCCAATGTTTATTCCAGAACCCTCGGATGGAAATCGGGCCGGGGCATTCCTTCAATTTTTTGCTCAACGTGCCGTAGAATCTGTTGAAGAAGCTCGACGACGAGAGGAGTCCCAAGCTCTGTATCTTGAAGCTGCTCAGAGAGAAGCAACACACAGACAGGAGGTTCTTCGACAACGGGTAAATGATTCTGAAACCCCTATTGAAATTTCTCCTGATAGACCTATTGATTCTTCTATTCCATTGTCTGTGTCTGTTTTGCATGAAAATCAATCTGCTTTGGGTTCCGAGAACTCCCCTGTGAATGTTGATCCTCTATCTTTGCCTGTGACTAATTTTGCTGGTGAAAAATCTGATGCGTTGCATGTGTCTGATGAGAAAACAAAGTCCTCTTATAAGCCAAATCCACTGAGTCTGGTTGTTTATGCTTCTGAGAATATTGCTCTGCCTCCGTCTGAAACTGTTAATGTCTCTAAAGAGTCTTGTCCTGCTGTTGACCCTCCTGCCTTACCTGCAACTGTTAAAATTGTTGATTTATCATCTCCCCACAAGTCTGAGAAAACAGGTGGAGTCCCTGTTTACACTGCAACATCTTTAGGAGAAAGCCTGGAACATGTGCGACATTTTGCTGGGTTACCATCTGCTTCGATCCCTCAGCCTTATCGAGTGATACACCCTTCAGAATCCTCCAGTGAAGATGATAAGATACTGGCTGAGGTGTATGGATCCCAAGCACCTTCTTCTGCTGCCCCTACTGTTGAGGCAACTGCTCATCCTGATTCCACGAATTTCAGAATTCGAGAGATATCAAATATTGTTGGGAGCTCATCTGCAAATGTTTCTGATTCTAGCCACTTTGTGACTCCAGTCCAGTCCCCATCCAGAGAAACAAGACGGACAAAAAGGAAGAATGTTCCAACGAAGGTTGTTGTTGAAACCAGTGCTGATAATGTTGATGTGGATCAGCTTGTGAAGAAGAGAAAGTCGAGTGAGACTCCTAAGCCTGAAGGAGACCCACCTATCCACTAAGTTTTCAAGACTCTACGTTCCTCTGTTAAGCAACAAGGAACTATTGCTGCTCAAGCTGCTTCTGCACCAGCCCCCTCTACCAGAAAAGGGAAACCTACCACAAGGTCAAGAGGTCGAAGTGTAACTCCGGAGGTTCCACCTATTGAAGGAATTGATACTACTGTCTACAAACCTCAGTTTGTATCCCCTGCTGCACAAACAAAATGGGCCACTATGGTCAGAAGGGAGCTGATTGTTCAAAGAACTGTGGATGAGAATCAACTGAACTCCGTTTGCGACATCCTGCCCTTGCTGAATGAAGTTGGTCTTTTGAAAACTGTTACAGATGTTTGCCCTTACTCCAAGCTGCTCACATATGAGTTCTATTGCAATCTCAGTGATGAGATTGACAGTCTCACAGGGCCACGACCGATGCAAATCTTCATCAGAGGGAAGTGGTATGATTTTGGGCCAGATGTGATAAATAAATACTATGGCTTGCCTACAGTGCAAGAAGAAGCTGTTACTGAATGGGACGTGGTGGCCAAAACTCTTACCGGTGGACATACTACATCTTGGCCTACAGGAAATAAGGACTATTTGCTGAGCTCACATCTCACGTCTAGATATGTCATCCTACATCGCCTGGCTCTGCACAACTGGCTTCCATCAGCTCATTTCAACACAGTTGGCAAGCTTCTGGCAGGGTTCTTATTTAGAATTGGAACTAAGATGCAGTGTGATCTGGGCAAATGGATTTTTTATCATGTTCTAACTCTGATTCATCCCCGGGAACAGAAGGTAAGATTACCATTTCCAAATCTGATTTTTGGCATCCTTACCTCTCAGGGTCTTAAGCCTATGCCCAGCGAAGTGATCAGTCCGACGCTGCTATATACTGTTGATAAACGTCTTCTTTCTGGAGATCACCTTAAGGATGTCGTTCCTGTGACTGCCCCATCCAATTCGGAACCTGATGCTGTGAATGATGAGTCTCCTCATGCTAAAGATGTGAAGCTTTCCGAACAATTGAAGGTGCGAGTTGTTGATCTTGAGACGGTGCACGGTATCATTGCCAAGCAACTGACGGGTGCGCGCACTGAGCTAGCTACTGTTCTTCTCCGAATGAGCCTGTCTGATACTGCTGCTGCTGCTGAGGATCCCGTGAAGTCTGACTGTGGCTCTCCCTCAAATGCTTGATCTTTGGCTATCATTGGCAAAAAGGGGGAGTAGTAACTCAGGGGGAGTTTTTGTGATCGAGTACTTTCTGGCCCTGGCTGGGCGTTATGTTTTGATGTCGATTTTTTGTTCTTAGACTGCTTTGGATCTTATGTTCTTTTTATCCTATGTAATCAGTTTGGACACTTGGGTTGCTTCTTTTAATAACCTATCTTAGTTCTTTTTATATAGTTGAGTTGTTTTGCCAAATAATAGCCAAAGGGGGAGTTTGTTAGTGTTTTTATGTTCAAAAACCCCATATTATAATTGGCAATATTATTATGGCATACTAAGATAGGTTTAGAGCCTGTCCGGTTGGGTTTACAGTTTACTGATCAAGCAGAAGCAACGACAGAAGAACTGACACTGAAGATCTGATTTAGGAAAGTTGTTTCCTTAAGAGTCTTACGCGGTATTATCAGCCCAGTATGGAAAGTCGATCAGCGTATCTTCAAAGAAGGTAATGGACCTAATCTGCTGAGATTACATTCCTCTTATATAGTCCTACCTTCTACAATCAAAGACAATTTATGGAGAGTGTTTATTGAAGGATCTATAAGTACCAGTTCTTTAAGGGAACTAGGGTTACGCCAAATAAGAAGAAGAAACACTCCATATCAGTTTGATGAGTCTAGATCTTTGATGGTCATGCACCTTCTCAATACAACATGTTCATGGTGATTAAGATGATGAACTTGAGAAGAGTTACTGCTGCTTAAACGAAAGGACACTAAGATCACACTGTTGTGGGAACAACCTTATAGAGCGTCACTGAAGTGGACTGCATCAGAGCTGGCTCTCCAAGTGAAGGGATTTCATTGGACTTCTGTATGCATGACTCTCCATCTTCAACAATCCACTAAACCTGTATAGACTGGGTATGTACCTTGTGTAGGGCACTTGGGTAAGATTATTGTATATCTACCTTTGTACATTGGATTATGACTTAGTGGATTGGACGCCTATGTGATCGTCCCCCAGACGTAGATACACACCGTATCGAACTGGGTAAACATTGTGAGTGTTCGTTCTGTGTGTTTGTTTATTTTTCTCTGATGTTCTCTTCATGATCTATCATTACTAAGTAGGTGCTTAACTGAATCAATCAGTATTCTAAGTCAGCAAACTATTTCTGATATTTTACGTAAAATGAGGAAATGCAAAATTACAATAAGTTCACAATTTGTTACATAAAATTACAAATATGTTTGTTATTCTTCCATGTTTATTTTGATTTTTATATTTTCTCACATTTTCGCTCAAACTTTTGTTAATATTAATTAATTAATTTATTAGTATAAGAATTAATAAAGCTTTATTGGTAGCAAAATGTTATATGAAAATTAACTAATATCTATTAATTAGTAATATATAATAAAAAAATTTTACCGTGCCATGCACGCCTATTGCACATGTATCGCACGCCTGTTGCACGTGCATCACATAGGTGATTGTGCAATTATTTGCTCGAATTCAATTAAAATTTCAATTGACTAAATTTTAATCGAGAGGAATTTTGATTATTTAATTGACATTCTTTAAATTTATTGTCCTGGCTCATGGCATGCAGCTAGTTCCTCAGTACTAACTTGACTATCGCTGATAACTATTGCTTGTGCATCACAAGATTGATCAAAGGTACTACTTGCTCGCCCATGCACTTTTCCATCGTCATTGGTTTTCTCAGAATTGTGGACCTTATCCTTGCAGTCATCACAAATCTATCTCACAAATTCATCAAAAGTCTTTGGAATAACATCTAGGCAGTACCTGAAAGGGTGGTAAAAGAGAGAAAACATCAACAATCAAGTAAAGGAAAAAGAAAATAAATGTAGTAGAAAATGGAACAAAAATGAAAATAGTAATAAAAAAATAAGGTCAATAACTGAAAATATAAAAACCCATGGAACTTACATTGGGAAGAGGAAGATTAGGGGAATTAGCCATGACAATGGGGGTGTCTGATCTGGTATTCAAGTTTAACACGTGAAGCTGAGCAAAACTCACCTGAAAAATCACAGTCAATCACTTAAGTCCATCGTCGGTTTTTTAAGGTTCTGGTTGCATTTTCAAACCGCACTCTAGTTGAGTTCGTACCAGAGCGAAGAAGATGACGTGTTTCCAAAACGGTGCAACGTCATTCTAGAGGCCTCCATGTGCTCCGACGAGAGCTGCAGATTCTTCTGGAGATCGTTGATGACGGCGCAGCCGCCGGCGATGATGCAGAATTGTGAAATTACATATATATCCTCAAAGATCACAGTCAACAAACTGTCAAATAGACGGAGGACCAAATTGTGTTAAAATTGTAAAGTTAAGGACTTAATTGGTTGAAATTGAAAGTCGATGACCATTTTGTGAATTTAGCTATAGTCGAGGGACCATTTTGGATATTTTCTCATACACAACAATATTACCTTAGCTTAGCTTGTGAGTAGTTCACATGCTCAAGTTTTTTCAAAAAAAAAATAAAAATAAAAAAATCACATGCTCAAGTTCAATACTGATGATGTAAGAATGAATTGTTTGAAAAAGTTTTGACTTTTGACGGGCAAGAGCTGATTTATGTCAGCGTATAAAAAAAAAAAAAAAAAAACAAAAAAAAAAACAAAAAAAAAAAAACAAAAAAAAGGCACAAGTGAGACGCAATAATACACATTTGTTTTGTTTGTTTGTTTGTTTGTTTGTTTGTTTTTTTTTTTTTTTTTTTTTTAATTTGTTTTCTTGTTTATTTTCAGGCGAATTGTTTTCTGTTTGCGCCATGTTTTTTCCCTGCCACATACAAAAAAAAAAAAATTGTTTTAAATTTTGCACACAATTCAAATATGTAATATTTTTTTTTTAATTATATTTAAAATGACCTACCAATTAGCTAAGCCCTTTGGTAGAAGTACATTAAATGTTTACTGTAACGTTTTATGGCCGGATTGAAGGATGACATGGTCTTCTTAATTAGATGTTCCTTTTTCTTGCATTTTAGTATAAACTATTTATTAACTAGCCTTTTTGATTCCAAGTGCTCAATTATATATAATCCAACTCATGAGTTTCACGATGTTACAACCATTTGGGCATTCAGAAAGTTATATAAGCAATATGTCAAAGATGGTTTGAATAGGAGAAAAGCTAATCAAATACTATGTTTAAAACACTCTTTTTATTCTTCAAAGGTGAAAAAGGCAGATTTTGAACTTATACCATTAGATGGTGAGATAGTGTACTAACTTATACCCTACTTAATACATTCTTTCCCTGGCTTCTTTCAGGCACCAGTGAATTTCTTAGGACTTCTAAGTTGCAGCTAATGGTTCTTCTAACACTGCAAAATATGGGCTCTACCATGACAGATGTGGTAATTGATGCGATGATAGTTGAGGCTGTAAGATTAGAACGCTATGTTTTCAGTTATTCCAAAGTTCTCTCATTTTGAAGGCTCATAAATTAGATCTTATGATTTACAACTGTGGTTGTGCCTTGGAGAGCCCAAGAATTTGATTTCCAACAATTTTTTGACGGTCGGAAGTTGAACGGAGCATATTGTTGCATGGGTTGGCGCGGCTAAATGAGGAGGAAGGAGAAAGCTTATAAAATTACAATTTTATTCACAGGCAGTCAACAAACAGTCAATTAACATAGGACTAAATAGAGTAAAAATTGCATAGTTGATGACTTAATGAGTAAGAATGGTAGTCGAGAACCAAATTGATAATTACAGCATAGTCGAGGAAGCATTTTGATTATTAACTCTTTTTTCTTTAGAAGGATCAAGATCTGAATTTTGATTAGTGTTTGTCTATCTGTGTGTGTTCTTTTCTCCCTCCCTCCCTCAATTGCATACATTTGATATCTTTGTATATGTTACAGTTTTTATTGATTATTCTTTTGTACAGTAATTGTCTAATTGATTTATAGTTGCAGTTATAGTAGTGTCAGCATAATCGGTCTTGTGGTTATGATACATATATGTATTTTTGTGTGAAAATTGTATGCTTGGTTGGGTTGATTTTTTTTGGGTGTACCGAAGGTTTTTATTGTCGAACACAGTGACTAATTTCATCGCTAAATTGTAAGTATCTCTAATGAATAGAACAACTGATATGAAAATTTAAAATTGTTCTATACTCAAAGCAAAAGACCGAACCCTTGACGTTATAAGGGAACTGAACAAACAAATAGCCGGCCATCAGTTGAGGTTTTTGCTAACCCCCCTATCCCAAACTTTCATGGATGTGAAATAAATTGCATAATCAAGGATCTTCATAAGAGCAAAAATCAAGATTCAACAAGCACACCATCATCCTCAACACCACAATTTTGTTATGAGGGTGTGCACTGGACAAATCTCGCCGGCAAAGGACCACGTTGAGGTAAACCAGTCTAAGTTGTTCATAGCTGACCGGCTCAACCAATAAGGTTAGGATTCAAACTCGTGACCTTGTAATTACAAGTTTGTATCCTTAGCCAGCTTGGTTAGTGTTACCCCATCAACACCACAATTTGGATCCACAGGAATTGGATAGAGATCCTTCCTACTATATCTGGTGCCTATCTACCCAGTAGTTGGATAGTATTTATTTAGATCCAACATCAAACATTCTGACACTCATAATCTGGAAATTGTAGCTTCGAAATCAAACAAACTGACACTCATAATCTGGAAATTGTAGCTTCGAATCAGCGGTAAAATGAGGAAAAACCAAACAGAGAGAGGCTATGTCAGAGACGCCATAGATATCTAAGAAACCCAAAATCTTTTAGCTAGTTCACACAAAAGAAATGTTCTGCATTTTCACGCACATGAATGCAAACGACATTAAAGAACATCCATTGATCAATCTACATTTCAATGGCTTAACCAAAATGATTTTAACATAACCATTCCTTCCAAAATGATTTTAACATAACCATTCCTTCCAAAAGTGTACGTATCTGAAAGAGTTCAAGAAGTTCACTACTTGGAACCACTTAATCCAGAAATAAAGAGGACTAATTATTGGAACTGAACTATCCAGTATACAACATTGTTAACAAATAGCTACAATGAGTCAAAATTCAATTCTAGACAAATTTTCTTTGCTCCTGCTCAGTCACAAGAAAGAAATAGAGAAAAATTACTTAACAGGAGAATCTTCTCAAGATGTGCCTATGCACCATAGGAATTATCCTCACAAAGTTTGCTATGTAAGAAAATGGGAATATATTTACCGACTGCACAACAAAACTTATGCATGCAAGTTGAAATGAGTAAAGCATCACCCTGCTTATCTGCTCATGATAGGAGAACAAATAAATTAGTCTCTCAAAGTCCTACCCTGTGGTTTGAGCCTACCCTTTTTCGTGGTAGCCAACCGCTCCCCTTGGAAAAAATTCCTTGCTTTGTCAAGCCAACTATGATAGGATAGAATTGGGATCGAGACATCAATCCACCATATCCTTTAAAAACCACTTTGCTTCCTCAACACGCCCTTCCTCAAAAAGTTTCTTAACTAAAACATTGTACAAGGTACCTGATGGCTGCAACCCCAATTTATGCATGTAAGTTAAAATGAGTAAAGCATCATCCCACTTATCTGCTCTAGACAAGGAATAAATTAGTCTCTCTAAAGTCCTTCCTTGTGGTCTGAGCCTACTCTTTATCATGGTGCCCAGCCATTCTATCCCCTTGGAAAATCTTCCTTGTTTGGTCAACCCAACTATGATAGAATTGTGATTACACATTGCAGGTTCCAGACCTTGATCCACCATATCCTTCAAAAAACATTTTGCTTCCTCAACACGCCCTTCCTCACAAAGCCTCTCAATTAATGCCTTGTACAAGGTAGTTGATGGCTGCAATCCATGCTCTAGAAGATCATAAAATATTTTTAGACCATAAGAAGCATTTCCACCCTCACAAAAGCCCTGAATTAGGGAATTGTAAGTAATTGCATCACGAACAACACCTTTCCTTGCCATATGTTCAAACAATCTGTATGCTCTCTTAAACATTCCATTTGCACAATACCCGCCAATCAAGATGTTGAAGGTTACTGTGGAATCAACGAATCCTTTCTCAAGCATTTCCTTATGCAGCCTTTCTGCCTCCTTTAGATTACCCGTTTTAAAATACCCGTGTATCAGCGCATTATAAGCATACTCATCTGGAACAAATCTCTTCTTTATCATCTCGGACCATACCTTTTGAGCTTTGCCCAGCATCTTGCTCTTGGCAAGACTGTGAACTACCGTAGAATACATAACCCTATCTGGAGCATATCCCCTGTCCTTTATATATTCAAAAATTCGAAAAACTTCAAGCTTGTCTCTATTCTTGCAATCCCGCACACCATGAATAACTTCTTGATAAGTGTATATATCTGGAGAACAATTTTTGGCAATCATGGCAAAGAGAAGAGCTGTCATTCTAAAGGACTCATTGTTCTTGCAAGACTCATAAATCAATCTGTTTAACACAATATTACTAGGGACATGCCCACCTTCCAACAATTGCTGCAGAAGCTCATAACCTTTTGAATAATTCCTATCCAAACAAAATGCATAGATTAAATACCCAACTGTATCCACGTCGCCTGCAACTCCACAACCCATCATATCCTCATACAGTTTCCAAACAGCATCAGTTTTCCCAGCTTTTACCGAACCAGATAGGGCTGAATTCCAAGCATTCAGTGATGGACAGTGACCAACTCCCTTCAATTCATCAAACACCATTAGGGCTTCCTCAATCAACCCATTATCACAAAGACACTCAATATACCCCTCCAAACTACTAGGCTCTGGAGCATACTTTGTGCTCTCAAGAAAACTTTTTGCCAGGCTTCCAGCCTTGGCTTTCACAAGCCCACTAAAAACCACATCAGAGGAAACCGGGTCAGGCAAGAATCCATTCTGAGAACTAACCCAACGATAAAACCGAAGCGCCACCATCACATTCGTTTGTCGCTTCAGAACCTCACAGTACAAATTAGGATCAGCAAAGTTCACACTTGGGAACTCGGAAAACAAACTCTGCTCCCATCTCGGCCGTGTACGTATTATTCTCGAAACATCTTTTGATATCTCACTAACATTATCCGAATTCAATGAGACAGACCCTTCGCTACCCGCATTAGTTCCTAAAATGCTTAGACTGCGATTCAGGATTGTGGGGTTGGGGCTAGGGTTTTGACGAAGAAATATGTAGGTGAAAAAAGATGGGGGTGGTTTAGCCATTCAATACTACAGATAATTCATCCACTTCGAAAAGGGGATTTCAGAAATTTATACAAATCCTAAACAGAAAAGAAATGTATGAATACATACATGTATGTGTGTATACGATAGAGGATACGAAGGCGAAAGCTATGGAAGATGAGTTGCAGGAATGGCGGCCGTGTAGATCGAAGCAGATAGGGGAGGGGGTAAACGGCAATTGTAGTATATTTACCATAAGATACCTGGATTAGACATATTTATCAAAAGACACCAAAATAATTACATGTCGTTTGGTTGCAAAGAAGGAAATTATGGAGAAAGAAATTGTAATTTCATAAAAAAAATAAATAAGGTGAAAATTTGATAAGGTATAAAGTAATAAAGTCAGTAGTACTAAAAAAAAATAAAAATTTGATAAAGATAAATAAAATTACTAAAAATTTCAATTATGGCTTATTTGGTACGCAGGAATTGGAATTCATTTCCTTTGTAATCTTAGCAACCAAAATTTCATTATTTGATTTGAGGGAATTGCAATTCCCTCTAACCATGGAATTAAAACTCATATCCCTCACCCCCCTTCCTCCTTGGAATTAGAATTCCATTATTATAATTATTTTTTGTTGTTGTTGTTGTTGTTGTTGTTGTTGTTGTTGTTATTACACAATTGTATTTTTGTCGGGTCCTTATATCACTTTTTTCTTTCTATTCTCAGTATTTTTATTTTTTTTTTTACCAAACAATAAAATTCGAATTCTCATTTTATACATACCTTATTCTTTTCTCACGGAATTACAATCTCATTTCAACTGAATGCCTCGTTCCAACTAAACGCCTCGTTATAGTGTTTGTTATATATGGAGATTGAAAAGGAATAAGTAGTATAAATACCAAAATATTTGTGTAATTGCAATTCTTAGGGAAATATGTAAATTATGGGGGGGGGGGAAGGGTTGGATTTGGTCCTCACATTCCAAACTTTCTTCTCATGTATTATAGAATTGCAATTCTTAGGGGAGGTAAGATTTGTAATTCTTCAAATTTAAGTTTTCATCCCAACCAAACTCTGTAAGTTTTCACTTTTTAAAATTAAGAGAGAAAGGAATTGCAATTCCTCTCTACCAAACACTCCATTTACTATTTTACTCTTTTTAGTCCTTTTGATTTGGAAACCATTCAATATTCTTAGGGAAATGGACCCTCTAATTAAACATAAAAATGTGATTAAATTTTTGAATTAGAAGAATTATAATTTTTTAAATTATATTATCAAAGACAGGGAGGGTATCTTTGTCCTCGTTCATATTTTTGTCTTCACTCCGACTTTTTTCTGTCTTTATCCCTATTTTCGTTAAGGTAGAGATTGGAGATCCCCATTGAAAATGAGGAAAATTGACATCCCTACGTAAGATGCAATATAGGTTATTATTTTTTTAAAATTATTTTTTTTAAATAAAATTAATTATATAATAAGAAAAAATAAACATGCTTGTTGTCATGGTTTCATTAATGTCGATCTGGACGAAAAAGATATCTTTCCTGTCCAATTTGATGGAGAAGTCAAAAATATTCTTTTTAGTTCTTTTTTTTTTTGAAGGCTTAAGTGTCATTTCGCACCATGAACTAAAATGTATTCTTTATGTCGCACACTGATCTTTCATAACTACTGTTTCGATGTACAAATCATACAAAAAAAATTTGCAAAGAAATTTTTACAGGTTTCCCTGTTGCCCTGATGACATGGCGCCGGTATTATCTGATGTGGAGCCTATTTTTAACATTTCCTCCTAAATTGAAGTATTAATATTGTATTCCCTAAGCCCTTTCGTAAAACATATGTGTTCGACGCCTTACTACTCTCCGACAGTTCGACGACACAATCAGGTTTGACGTTTTCTGACTACGCAATCATGTTCGACGTTTTTTTACGACGCACTTAGCATTGTAATTGTGGGTTGAAAGCTCATATTTGCACAACTAGAGACTCGGAAAAGCAATTCTTCGGGTGTCAAAGATGGAAGGTAGGGATTTATAGAATTTTCGAATGAATTTTGAGTTTTCAATTGTTTTCAAATTAAGAGTAGGGTTTGTTTGTTTTTTTTTTTCGGCTTTTTTTTTTTTTTAGTTTTAAATTTATTAGATTGTTTGATTATTTGAATATTTCAAATTGAGTTGTCTAGGATGGAAATAGTTGTGGCTTCTTTCTTTGGAAGGATCAAAGTACAAGGAGGGGGAAAGGTGAGCATGATGACCTAAAGAAGCTGATGGTGTCTTTGAGGTGTGAAATAGAAGGTGTGAGAGAACTAATTGTAAATAACTATAGTGCTACGACAAAAGAAAATGAAGTGTTGAGGAAAAGCTAAAAAGTGTGTTGTTCTCATAATTGTAATTGTAGTGCTTGTAGCAAAAAGATTTAGTTAGAAATTGTAATCGTTTCACATTGTAATGAAATAGTTTTGATTTGGTAGCATTGATTTGGTATTTTCAGTTTGTTAATTTGCATTTAGTGTACTAACAGTAGGCAACATTCAATCAAATGTTATGTGCAATCAAATGTTGCCATTCGTTTTGCAATCAAATGTTATGTGCAATCAAATGTTGCAATTCATTTTTCAATCAAATGTTATGTACTGTTAGAGAAATAGGGTGTTAGTTGAGGGGATCTCTCTTAGCCTTAGTTTTAGGTATTTGAAACATATGGCTAGGATTAGTTCTTGTCTAATATAAATAGCTCTATACTCCCTTGTACATTTACACACAGAGAACATATAGAAATATACAGTTGAGTTTATTGTTTAACATGGTATCAGAGCGAGATTGAGGTGACTGGGTAGTGGGTGTTGGTCGGAAAGAGGAGGCAACGCCGGCGGGAGAGGCGGAGCAGCCACCGGAGTCCTCACGCACCGCCACGCGCCGGCGCAGTCCTAGGGTTCCGACGCCACGCGCCGGCGCGTGGGCACTGGTCCGGCGTCTTCTCCGGTCGCGGCTTGCACTGGCGGACTCGTCTCTGAACACCCAACGCGTCTGCAGTGGTGGTTTACTCCGGTGTTGCGAAGGGCTGCTGCGTTTTGGACTGCTGCATTTTTGGACTGTTGCTATTTCAGGTTGGTCTGTTTTGTTTATTATGGCTGAGGAGAGTGAGCAGAGGATGGAGGGCTGCGTTGAGTGGTTCAGTGAGAGGTTTGGGTTCATAACCCTCGATGACGGCAGCGATGATTTGTTTGTTCACTAGTCTGGTGTCAGCCGAGAAAGAGAGACAACCGAGAGAGATGGTAGGGGAGGTCCACGAAGCTGGGTGGTCTGAGGTCCATGAAGCTGAGAAATAATTAGGCAGTAGTTTTCTTTTGTTTATCGTATTCGTATTAATAAGTCTTGACCTTTGTATTTTGTTTATCATAGTTTGTCGCTCTAAATTAATTTGGTATGGGAGCAATTCTAGGGTCTGAGTTGAGTCAAGTGCAGCTTGTTCAGTGTGCGTAAACAGGGGTGCTGCAGGAGTGGGCAGCATAGGTGCTAGGAGTGGGGCGGACCTGGCATATGCCGCGGGGGAGGCCGACGGCTGAAGAGTGATTCAGAGTGAATCAGTTTACGTACATGCACTAGGGAAACACGGTAGTGTTAGGCAGCCTTGATAAGGGTGCATGGTGAGAGGGACAGGTGCATTGTGGTCTAGCAGCGCTAATGGTTTGTGGAGTGAGAGGCAGGTACGCTGTGGGGTTAGGCAGCAGTGATAAGGGTGTGGGGAATGAGAGGCAGGTGCGGCACTGTGGTGCTCCAACTTGAGGGGTAGTGTTAGAGAAATATGGTGTTAGTTGAGGGGATCTCTCTTAGCCTTACTTTTAGGTATTTGAAACCTATGGCTAGGATTAGTTCTTGTCTAATATAAATAGCTCTATACTCCCTTGTACATTTACACACAGAGAACATATAGAAATATACAGTTGAGTTTATTGTTTAACATGTACTGCCATTCATTACAAGTAGCCAAAATGTCATTCATTTTCCAATCAAATGTTATATGCTGCAATTCATTACAAGTAGGCAAAATGTCATTAATTTTGCAATCAAGTGTACCAACAAGTTTTCAACATTCAATACAAAATGGCTTAAAACAGTGTTACTTTAAATCAGTAGCCAAAATGCCACTCAAGAGCCTTCAATCACTAGCCAAAATTCCCTTCAACAGCCTTCAATCAGTACTTAAAATACATTGAATACACTGTTGGAACTACTAGCTTAAATTAGTAGCAAAAATACAGTGCTGCCACTAATCATTCACTGCAAACTATCATCAAAATACTAGCTTAAATAAGTAACAAAAATACATTCACAAGTAGCCAAAATGCCTTCATGCTTCCAACTCTTCACTGTTGTGTGCAATCTATAAACATAAACAAAATATTATTATCATAATCTAATAGTCCTAGAACCAATATACATAATCTGTTAGCTTAATCTAATTACCTGACATTCCAAGAGTGCTTTCTTGAGACAATATTGTCCCTCTTCATCTTTCAACAACAGTAGATGCCATTTCTCTTCCTCTTTCAACAATAGATGCCCTTCCTCTTCCACTAAGGGTCTGTTTGAAAAACAAGAAAATGACTTTTGGAAAATGAGTCATTTTCCGGAAAAAAAAATTTCTTTCTCGGTTTGGCTGCACAATAGAAAACTGTCTTTGTGTGTTTGGTTCATTTTCTGAAAAATGAGGTAGAATTGTATAATTAAACATTTTATATAATTAATTATTTTGTTTAAAATATAAAAATAATTATAATAATATTTATTTTTTTGAAATCAAATAATATTAATTATTAAAAAGTTAAAATTATAATAATTATTATAATTTTTTGAAATCAAATAATATTTATTTTTTGAAATCAAATAATATTAATTATTAAAAATAACTATATCATACATGGATGTACTGATCTGGCTGATACCCCTTGTGAAATATGACACAAATGGCATGAGGACATGGCATACCAGTTGTAACACCCATTTTTTCTAAATTCTAAATCCTGATAAACAAGCTTAATTAAGATAAATAAGTATAACTTAGATAACTAAATACCCAACCATATGATAAACTAAAAGGGTGTCACCGCCACATTCACCACTCACGGTAACTGCACAGCCTACAAAACATCTATCAAAACTAGAGTCAAAAACTCTACAAAACATCATAACGGGGGAAACAAACCCCAGTGTCTACGCACCAA